AGAGGTTGAGAATCAAAACGACCTGGGTGCTAGCAAAGTCCCAGCAACGTCATGCAATTGCCAGGTAATGTTGGAAAACCCACTTTAAGCATCAGTTTTGTCATCTTTGAGAAACAGAGATAACAATAATTTCACCCTCACAATGTTGCTTTAAAGGTCAGATAAGATATGGATGAAGAAGTACCTAAAACTCTATACACGTTAATCATAATTATATGCAAGGAATAAATCTAGTAATACCTTTACAGAATGATGGCATACCCAGAGAAATGGACAGATGAGATATTAGACCTCTGTGACTAAGTTTTCCACCAGGTGCCTGAGTAGCTCTGAGGTCTGCAGTATCCTAAAACACTTTCGAGGCAAACAGTAGAGTGTGGGATGAAATAAAGAGAAAATCTCTTTGGTGGGGGGAAGGTGGAAAAGAAGAAAAAACAGTGCTAGGAGAGGTTGAAGTTGTTTAGGAAGGGAAGAGAGAAAAAGGGAAAAACAACAACAACAACAACAAAAACACTGCAAGAATATTTTTTAAATAGCCTGTCAGGAACAAAAGAAGAAAAGAGCATAAAGATGGAACTAAAAGGGGAAGAAATCCTGTGAGTTCCGTGTGCGTATCACCTGCACTGTGAGGAGAAGTGTCACGTGGCGGTGTTCTCTACAGAGAGTAATTTCACATTTTCAAAATTACAACTCCACTTCCAACATTCACCCTCCCGCTTGTGTTTGTGTCTGTGGTAAGGTACACGAACAAGGTTATTCACTGCTCTAGAATGGCCACCAGATTGAAAGACACCTATATGTGCATCACTAAGGATTAATTATATGTATTACTACTCACCCAAAAAAGTGGGATACTATGCAGATGCAGACAGGCAGACAGCACTGACGCCTTACATTTAACGATATGAACTTATCCCTAAGACACATTAAAATCCGAAAATGTATATATACAATGAGCTACATTTTATGTAAAGAACAAACCCTTGATATGCACGGAAAATGTCTAGAAAGATAACGCAAAATGGCAACACTAGTTGCCTCGGCGGATCATGCATGCACGCCAGGGGCCAAGGACCACTTTTTCAATGTGTCTTTTTTTATGCATTTAGTGTTTTGAACCATATGAACAAATTACGTAGTCAAAGGAATGTTTTTTTTAAAAAAGAAAATTACTTCTCAGGATCCTGACTACACAGTGACAGCACCAAGCCATCCCACTTGAGGGGGAGGAGGAGCAGAAAGAGGATACAGGTGACCAAGCACCACCAGGCAGGGAAACTTTTCAAGGCCTGCAAGACCAAGCAGGGTGAGTAACTTCATCAGGACCTGAACTGAATATGAATAAAAATGTCGATCAGCGAGAGATGAATACAGAACTTGGAGCAGCATGAGGGACACAGAAGAGGCAGCCAGGGTAAGCCGGCTGCCGCCCCCGACGAAATCATCGGGGGCACAAAAGGGACACAGGGCCGAGTGGCGAGCGGGACTCCAGCCTCTCCTCCGGGGCCAAGCCTGGCCCTGCTCCGGCCCGGAGCTCCTGCCTATGTCAACTGACCTCGGATGGGCTTGTCGTCCTTCTCATCCTCTTTGGTTTTCCGCTGATCGGCACCGAGGTAATCGGGCATTTTAGGAGCTCCAAAAGCCTCAGCTCTTAGGTGATTACACAGCACCTCTCTCGCTTCCGGTGGTGCCGCTCCTTCCTTTCCTCACCGGAAGTAAGCTGAGCTCTACGGACCCTTTTATTCTGCGCACGAGAACCGGAAGGGAGCCCCGGGAGGCGGGCTCGTGTCCTGCTCCCGGTTCCGTGGTCTAGGAAGAATTCCCTGTGGGAGGGGGACGCGGGTGGTCCCTGGCCCCTCACCATGGGGAGATTCCCTGAGCGACGGCCTTTTAAGACCAACCGTGGCTCAGTCCTGACTTTAAATCCTGATTTAGTCATTCATTTACTGTTCACTCTTGGGTAACTTCGTTACTCTCTCTGCTTTAATTTTTCCTTTGCCTCGCAGCATTGTGGAGGCTTTAAACAACTAGTGTTTTCAAAGTTATCTGGCATATTAGATACGCATTAAGTAGTGGCTAGATCTACGAATACAGTGAAGAGATATGGAAGTTGTTCCTTAATTTGATGTTAGCATGGGATGAGGAGATGAAGAGTTTCAATTTTTGAGCCCCCTGCCAAAGAAGAGTGGTGCCTCAGATACAGGGAAGTCCGGGAAAAGAGCAGGTTTTGAAATAAATTCGTTTAGGAGGCAAACAGGAATTGATAAATAACTGTAGAATTTGGAAATGAAAAGTCTGACCCTTCTTTGCGTTAAAGGACTCAGTGCATAGTGGAGAGACAACCTACTGGATGGGGAAAGTATTTGCACGTCATATATCTGGTAAGGGATTAATATCCTGAGTATATGAAGAACTACCAATCAACAAGAAAACAACCCCATTTTATTTTTTCAACGTTTATTTTTAAGAGAGAGAGACAGAGTGTGAGCAGGTGAGGGGCAGAGAGAGAGAGAGAGAGAGAGAGAGAGAGAGAGAGAGAGAGAGAATCTGAAGCAGGCTCCAGGCTCTGAGCTGTCAACACAGAGTCTGATAAGTGGCTCAAACTCACAAACCATGAAATCATTACCCGAGCTCGAAGTGGGAGGCTTAACCGGTTGAGCCACCCAGGCGCCCCAGAAAACAGCCCCATTTTAAAAATAGGGAATGGACTTGAGTAGAAATCTCTCCAAAGAAGGTATACAAATGGCCAGCAAGCGTATAAAAAAAGATGCTCAACACCACTAGCCATTTTCATTTCAAAACCATGAAATACTGCCTTAGACCCATTAGAATGGCTATTATCAAAAAGCGGGGGTGAGGAGAAAGAAACTGTTGGTGAGGATGTGAAGAAAAGGAAACCTATATTGTTGGTGGGAATATAAAATGGTGTAACCTCTATGAAAAATAGTATGGCTGTTCCTCAAAAAATTAAAAGTAGAATTACCATATGATCCAGCAAATTCAGTTCTGGATATACTCGGAAGAATGGAAAGCCAGGTCTCAAAAAAATTTATATCCCCGTGGTCATAGCAGCATTAGCCACAATAGCCAAAAGGTGGAAGCAACCCCATTGGCAGACAAATGGATAAGTAAAATGTGCATACAATGGAGTATTATTCAGCCTTAAAAAGGAAAGAAATGCTGACACATTAGAATTGTGAAGACACTATGCTAAGTAACTAGCCTGTCCCCAAAAGGCAAATAGTGTATGATTCTACTTATATGAGGTACCTAAAGTAGTCAAATTCATAAAGACAGAAATTAGAATGGTGATTTCCAGAGACTGAGGAGAGGTAGAAATGGAGGCTTGTTACTTAATGGGTACAGAGTTTCAATTTTGCAAGATTAAGAGTTTTGAAAATGGTATTTCAACAAAACAAACGTATTTAACACTACTGAACTGCACACTGAAAAATGGTTAGTATGTGAATTTCAT